CTTGAATAGTGGGAAGGTGCCAAAGATTGGAATTGGCTAATGTTCCTCCCTTTTTAAAGGTAGATATGTATGTAAAACAAAAAAGGTACAGGGACTCTGTTACCATTTCTGTTTTTAAATCTTAGTAGGTCCTAAGTCATCCAAGCTGTGAATCAAAAGGCCCAAAGTTTGAGCCACAATATGTTATTGAACATACTTAATACTTTCAACTTTGGTAGTGTTATAACTAGCATAGTCAATGCTGCTATTTAATTAGGAGTAGTCATACAGGGAGTAGGTGTTGTTAACTGGTTGCCCTTTGGTCATCAGTTCTAATTTAGAATTTAAATCTTACTAACAGTGGGATAGTTATGCAATGTCAGTTAGTGTTTTTATATATTCAAAGCAATAACTGTTGTAAAAGATATGCATCCATTTTTTTCATTAACTGTATTTTTTCATATGTCATACTATATATGGTTATGAAATTGAATTGAGAAGAAAATTTTCATAAATAAGAAATCATCTATATTTAAATTTTCTCTTTATAAAGAATTGTTAAAACCATTCTACACTTTTACAATTTGTTATATTAGATGAATATTTATATATTAACTAATGAAACAGAAAAAGTTTATTAACTGAACTGCATGATGCTCTAGTAACCTCATAGTTAATTAAACAAGGTAAAAAGATTGTTATTTTCTATTATATGTGAATATGAATACATATAAACAAAAGATAATTAATTTTTTCAAAAGTTTTATAACTGAAAATTTTCTTCAGTAATTTAACTTAATCATCTTTAATAATTTTCTACAGATAGCTTTTGCAACAGGTTGTGGTGAAGACAACACATGCCAATCAGACTTGAAGTTATATGCTCAGTTTGTTAACTTTAGGTAATGTGGAATTCAGATTATATTAATGTAATTTATTATAAACAGTTTTTACTTTATTATTTTGATTCACATGTATATTACAATTTGTTTTACTTGATCCATAAATTTAGTTTCTTATAGCTAAAAATTAAAAATCTGTGTTTTGATCTTTCACCAGCAGTAAAGAATTTATTTTGAAATTAAAAGTTAGATGCATATACAAGGTTTTCCCACAATGCTTACATCAGCAGATTTTGTCATATAATTAAGTTAATAAAATTTTAATGGGAAAAAAAGGAGCTTATTAGCCCATCAAAGATGTCCCTTCCAGTTCCCAACTATAACCACTCCTTACTACTCATGTATTCATCCAATCATTTCTTGAACTCAGTTAAATGTTCTGCTTCCACCACCCTTGAATGCAGCTCATTCTAAAAACCAAGCACCCTGTTTGAAAGGTAATACTGTCTAAACTGCAGACAACTCCCATGCTGTCAAAATTTGAATTTATGACCCCTTGTCCTGTTGTCTTCACTGATAAACACAAAAAAGTTTGATGGATCTATACTATCAATATTCTTAATAATCTTAAACACCTCAATAAAATCCCCTCTGACCCTTCTTCTCTCCAGAGAAAACAAGTTTAGAGATTTTAGTCTTCTCTCCTCATAGGACAATCCCAGGTATCATTCTAGTGGCTCTACTCTGAACCTTCTCCAACAATTCATTGTCCTTCTTGAGGAAGAGAGCCCAAAACTGTAAATAGTACTCTAAATGAGGCCTCACAAGTAATCTATACAGTGAAACAATAATATACTTTGTCTTATATTCAATATTTCTATAGATGCTACCCAAAATCCT